CGGTGCGTGTCACAGGTCAGTCCTGGGCGCGGGTTTGGGAGCTGGTCCCTGCCCAGAGCGGCTCCTCTGGGGTAACTGTTAGCACGATTTGCGTTCCACCACCTACACCCGGTTTATCAGAGCGTTTTCAAGGACGGCACCCGCGTGGGTGCTGCGGGGCTGGCCCAGCTCCCACGCAGCTGCCTGGGCACAGACAGACACAGGTGTTTTCAGAAGAAACTACGCTCTGTCAGCTGCCCTGTGAATTTCACGCGGATGTTATGTGTGCTGGAGAGCCCCCAGAAAAACAAACATCAACGAAATCCAGCCCTAGCAAACGTTGTAGCAGAGGAGCTTCCATAGTTTGTTGTTCTGGCTGCGTTTGTTTGGGTTTCCTCAAGTATTCTCTTCCTCAGGACCTGCAGGTCAAATACACTTGTAATGTGGGAGCTATGAACACCCCACTAGTGTTTTATCTCAATACAGCCAATCCTTGCTCAGAAATTTCAGACTCATCACTTAAATGTGTTTTACAGTCAATAAATACAAGCACACAAATACCTCAGACACTTTTCATAAAAGGGATGAAAACATCACTGCTGTGAGAAAACACACCAGCATAACAAGTGAATTTAAGCAATACAACCCAAAGCTGCATCCTAAGGGAAGAAATAGATAGATGGCTAAAGCACCAAAACATGCAGCATGTTGGATGGTACCTGCCAGCACACCCAGGGCTGGAGGAGCCCTGAGGAAACCAACCTTCTCAGCTCCCTTCCCTGCAAAAAAGAAAACAAAAATGATGGCTGTTCTGCTTTTATGTGCAGAAATTAGTTGCAGGAGCCAGTCATTGCTGGCTTCTAATAATTTAATCAGATCTGTGAGCTGTAGCACCTGCTGATAAGCCAGCAGTTGTTGCATTATGAGTCGGTATCTTAAGCAATTTGAAATGCAGTGAAGATGTGTTGTATTACTTACATTTTGCATCTGGTTAGAAGAAGAAAGATGTGGAAACTCTCACTAGATTAAAAAACTTTAGAGATGCTCTTCATCACTTATATGGTTCACCTCCTGTTTTTCTTTCTAACAAAATTGCCTGGTGAGGCGTTGCCAAGCTAGAAAGTAGTATTGATTTTTCCCATGACCCAGGCTCTAAACCTATTCAAGAGCATAAATCAATTTACTGATTATCTTATGAAAATCTCCATTAGTAAAACCTGCAGAAAGTGCTGACTGCAACTTTTTCACTATGGATTACTTCCCAGATTCCCTCTCTCAGGTCATTAAATAAAAATATAATGCTTGATGTGTTTGCATTCAACCTACTGTCTGTAGATGATCTAACACATTTTGTAAAACTTCATATTTTAGATCAAGATGAGATTTTAGGAACATGTCTGGCAAATACAGTAAGGGTGATAGCTAGCACAGTCTGGGAAACATTGCAGTCCATCTTCTTTCTACTAGTGTAAGCAGTGTTATTCTCTTGTAACATAGAGTGTTTTAATTAATTCCCTAGGAGACAAGTCCTAGAGTTCTTTCTGCTTTTACGATTCAATTTCACGTTTACTTTTTCTTGTAGGTTTCCTTGCTTAAAGAAAAATGACTACAGAAAGGCAGGTGTGCTGTGTGTCACCACACAGTTGTGAATAGATGCCATCAAGTGGAAATAGAGTCTTTAAAAAATGTTTGCAGAGGACCTTCGGGTCACCAAAATTATTCTTCGAGCCAGTTTTATGGCTTTACAATGAGATTTCCTTGTTTTTCTCTTGATGATTCTCATCACAGGCTCCCATACCTGTACCATCACCAGCCCAACTCAGCTATCTGTGTACCTGTTTACATGCAGAGCTCTGCAAAACACAGGAGGGAAAGTAATGGAAAAAAGTGAAGCAGTATTTTCTGCTTCCCCTTTATCATTGATGTTGGTGTCTGCTACGAGTAACAGTAGAAGGCAGAATAAATAGAGATTAGTAGAGTTCATGTAAAACATCAAGGTTATGGCTGTCCCTCTGGGTTGTTTTTTGCTGTGTCTTAATAAACAGAAGTGTGTGCTGTGTGCTGTAGGGCTTGCTTTTGCTGGTTTCTGGACAGAGGAATAAAGCTAACTGGAAGTACTTAATGACGATCTACTGATGTTTAATGCAGCCAAATTAAAATTCCTGCCCTTAAGTTCAAATAGAAAGTGATTTTAAAGCCTAAGGGGATAGACTGTGGAGACTGCTAGTGATTCCATAGGCTCCTGTGTCCACCACTAAGGACATTAAGCCCTGCATGGCATGCACTCTGAGCTTCCAGTGAAAGAACCTTCGCCATCCTGTGTCCAAAACAACCCAGATACTAGACACACATCCTACAACAGACACCAAAGAGGACCCCACAGGACTTTTCTTTGGCCCCTATGTTTATGACTTTACCACAGCTAAAGGTAGTTTTTGATCTCTGGAAAGGTAAAGCAGATGTGAGTGTGACAGGAGCTGTGACAAAGCTGCTGCTGGGACAACCAGGAGCTGCTAGGGTGGACTGAAGTCCATTTTGCTAAGTGTAAGCAGAGTGGGTAGGAAAGCTAAAGAGGAGGGGGCAGCACAATGTTTTTAAAGCACTGCAAAGGTTTCAGAAGCATGCTTCGTTCATGTGCTGCTGCTGGTCCCTCATGTAGGTCTCTTTCAATGTTGATTTTAGGGAGGTAGCTTCTGTACTGACAGTCGGCAGAACCAATTGCCTGGTATTTAGTGAGATGGAAGAAGAAGCATACAAATGTGAAATAGTTGAAAGAAATTTAAGTCCTAGATGCAGAGTTCTCATTGTGTCAGTGAGATAATAAGAGCTCAGTCCTTTACATTTCTAGATAAAATATTTAAGCGTGTTTCCCCCTGAGAACATTATGCATCATTCTTTGAGGATATTAAACAGTGAGGGCTGGATTTGTAATTGTTTCTGGGTTGGCTTTTTGTGTTTGTTTTTTAATGTGTACTGCAGACTTTAGAAGAGTAACATTTTGTAGACAAAGAATCTAATCCAGGCAGGATGTGCCTGGGGGAAAAATCCACATTGAAGAAAAACTGCAGCAATTACCCTCATTTCATTCCGATATATATATATATTTCTTAGAAAAGCAATTCTGTGGAATTTACCAGCTTTCAGATAACAGCATTTCAGATAATTTGCTGCTTTCTGGGGATAGATTGACTGTACTTTTATAGTGACAGTGCAGACAGACACTTTTCAGAAGTATTGGTGTGGGAAGAATAGAGAATGCCAGTGAAGGTTAACATGAAAATGGGTGTGTGAGAATTGGTGGGAGGGAAAGAAGAATCTCAGTTTGGAACTGTAACTTTTTCTACTCCT